ATACTTAAAAAAAAAAAAAAAAAAAGCAGAATCCATCCCCTGATGCAGGGTCTTCCATTTCTATGACTGGCAGCATCAGATTCTACTGAATGTTTGCTCCTTTCTCCGAACAAAAAATCTGATGCACATCAATCCAGCATTGTAAGTTTTAAGGCAGCCTGACTCTTTCCTGGAGATGTTCCAGAACCACAGAGACGTGGCACTGAGGGACATGGTCAGTGGGCATGCTGGGGATGAGTTGGGGTTGGACTTGGGGATCATAGAGCTCTTTTCCAGTCTTAATGATTCAGTGATGCTACACTGGTAAATAACCGAAGAGCAGGTATCCTGCATCCCCGCTGCACTGGGGCAAGCAGCCTGACAAAGCACAGGAAAATCCCTGGGCAAGAGGTAGGAAAACCCACTCAAGACCCCACAAGTGCCCATACGCAGTTCCATCTGTTGCAGTAAGAGATGATGTGGGGACCATGTTTGCACACTGATGAAAATACACATAAACAAGAATTCTAGTGCTGAGAGAGAGGAACTCCAGCAAACAAAGATACAGATTTTCTACTAAGAAAACACAAGGCACAAGCAGGTTTACAGAATTCCCTTCTTAGCCTTGAAAAACTGCAGTGGATTAAAAAGAACTAGAATGCATTTCATTCGTTTAGTTCAGAAAAGAAACCAAGTGACACTCTGCAATTCGTTCATTTACAGCAAATATTAACACAGAGTGCAATTTTCTGCCTGACACAACCATTTTATTTTCTACCAAGACGAATGTTTAGAACAGCAAAGAATAATCAAATCATTTTCTATTCCAAAAGAAGCCTCGCGGTCTCATCGCGCGTTCTCACCATTTTGTAAATCATTTAATGATTTTCTGCTGGTTTAAATACGATCTCCCCATACCAAACTGATTAGCTAACGTGAAATATTCATGACAGAGGTGCTTCCAGCAGGCACAGAGTTCCTAAATCACCCAAAGATTTCCTGCTACTGTGAATCTTCCTTGCCCTATGGAACAAATTGAGATAACGCAGAACCAGTAGAGTCAATTTCTTGCCTGTGATGTTTCTGGCCCATTACAGAACCAACAATGTGCTACAAAAGGAGAAAGAAATTTCACTTTGAAGTTTAAATTTTCAAATTAAATCCTCAGAGGTTGAAAAGAAGAACACTTCTTGATCTGCTCAAAGCACTCTTCAAAACAAACACTTCCAGTCAGCTGTAATGTACAAGATATATAGGAAAGTTGACGTGCAGTCATAAATCAGTATTTTAAAATATAAGTAAAACCTGATATATAAAGCTCATAAAACAGAGTTGTTGCTCTCTCTTTGTACAGTGGTCTACCTGAGCAAGGAGTAGGTGATTTCCTATTAGAGAACACTGCCTATATTTCACTTTAAGCACAGGGTGAATAATTTTACCTAAGCAACTTACAGATCAGATCTCTCATTCATTGTTATCCTCAAAAAAGAAAAAAAAAAAAAAAAAAAAAAAATCTAACATATTTTTTTCCCCAAAAAAAAAAAAAAAAAAAAAAAAAAAAAAGGAGAAGCAACTGGCTCACCTCAAATAACAAAAAAACAGACACAAAAGCACTGCATGAACATATATGAAGTTGGATCTTTTCCGCAGATAGGGATATCTATTTCCACTGCTACCTAAAAATGCCCAGCAATAAGGCTGTCTCAGGCCTCCCCAGCATTCAGATAAATGTCCTGACAGCAAGATTTTAAGAAACATCGAGTCTGGCACAGCTCACCTTTAAAACAGCACCTTAGAGTAACTGTAACCTCTCCCTTGGCTACTATTTGGCACTCACAAAACATTAGCTGGATGGCCATTTCCTCCAGTTCTCACTAATGTTAGAGAACCAGACTATCAGTGGGAATCCCTTTTATTCTGATAGATCTTCGAAACAAGTTAAGCTGAGCTTTTTCCCAAGCATCTGAGACACTTCACAAATAGGAAAGGATGGTTAGACTCATGCATCCCATCAACGACATCTTGATGGAGACAACTTTAGTCATAGCCAAGGCAATAGCGCTAGAGATGCCACTGAATAGGCAGCCAATGACGACACCAACACACCATCCCATCAGCACACATCCACGCTCTTATTTTCAGGCTCCACTTCCACATCTTACTTTGCACAGCCTGAACTGGGTGCTCTCACAAAGTTAAGCCCTGCATGAAGCAACAGAGATCCTTGGTGCGATGCAGTGAGAGAGAGGAGCGCGCCGAGATCCATACAGAGCATCCTAACGAAGGGCCGCTCTGTTCTGCAAATGTGAAAACCCCAATAAACTAAATGAATTTCTCAAGGTCACAGAAGGAGTCAATAGCAATTGCAAATAGAACCCAGCAGACTGACACCTTAATGACAGATAGACCGTTAATTTGCACTTTGACTCACCCGCAGCAGCGGGAAGGCGGAGTGAGGTTTCCAAGTCAGATCGTTACATTTTAATTTTGCTCTGTGCAAGCAGAAACAGGGACAGTGGTATGTGACAACAGCTAATCCAGTTTATAAAGAGCAGCTTGCTACACTGAAGTCCAGACATTTCATTGTCAGAATGCCTATGTGCTCTCCATGAATCATACATGCATGCATGGCTATCTCAGTTCCACAGGGCTGTGTCGGCTGAATCTTCTTTGGGACCACACATCAGATGTTCAATAACCTTGGTGTGGGAGGAGAAAACCAGACTGGGACAATAAAACCAGATGTCACACTGAAAGAAAGAGGGCAGACAAAGCAGATTTGTACCTTGAATTTCAATTTAAGAGAATTTCTGTTGGAAACTACAGATCAGGAGCAGAGATCACTTTAAGATCACTTCAAAGGTTTATTTTCCTTGCCATAATAAACCTGGAATTCCCGTTTGTTAAGGGATAAATACATAGTTTTTAAAGTTTCTGAAGCATGTATCTATACACACACACACAGAATTTTTAAACCACTTTTTATTGGAGGGGGGGTATGACAGGTTTACAGCTGCCACAAATTAAATGAAAGTCTTAGTGAAAAGAAAGCAGAAGTTGCTTCCATTTACACACAGTAAAACAATAACCTTTGCTGCACACACCCTCATTTGAACAGCAGAAGGGAAGAAATGACAAAAAAATAACCCTCTGCCCCAAGAGATAAAGCAATTTATTAGTATTTCAGTGCTGAATGCACTTGTCAAATATTTAATCATCCGATTCTTTACATTAAAAACTGCGCAGACGGAGTCTGCCATAGGGGAATAGTAACAAACCACAGAAGTGGGAATATTTTTGGAGGATACTTATCAAGAAGAAATGGAGATATCTGTAGCAAAGATGGCACTGCTGCTATTGTGTGCTGAGGAAAACATTAGAGGTGGCTGGGGAATAGGATATATGAGAACAGCAGGGCTCAGCCTTGCCTTGATTTGCTAAACACACACTTGAGAAAACTGGTTAGGAAAGATTTGCACACTGTGATCTAGGTATGCCTCTGCATGTGGAAATAAGGCATTTATTTGTAAGGGGCACAAAACCAGCAATCTGCTTGGCAATGCTGCCCCTTAAAGTCAGCTTGCAGGGAGCTCCAGGAAAGCTGTGATCTTTGGTAGATGAGGGACACAAAGACAGGAAGTCAAGACAAGTGTAAAAGCTCCACATCTGGCACTGCAGCACAGGGCAACACAACGGAGAACGTAACCCAAGGGACAAGCCAATGAAGCACACTGGGAGAATTTCCTTAGGTTTCCTGATCACAACAGCGTGATCTGACATAATGTAATGGGTATAACTCAAAATTCAGTAGAGCTGACCTAACTTCTTCAGCTTCCATTGCTGTCTGCTTCTTTTTCCCACCTGGTTGATGGTTGGACAAGATGACAACAGCAGTCTTCTCCAACATTAATGATTCTATGGTTCTAATTCTTTTCATTCTTCTTTTTTTCCTTACTGCTTTTCCCCAGTCCACCAGGTGTTTCTTTGTGAAGTTAGACCTTCCCCAGTTTCTCTATGACATTAACATAAATGATGAGCACATAGAAAACAGAATTGATGAGATAACAGCTTGAGTAGGAATACAAAATCCCGTCAAATGACCTTTGTGTCAAATTTGATACATCCACACTGCAAAGAGTTTCAAGTCTACCCTGTGCAAGGAAGCTAGCTAATTTACATCTACAGAAATGTAATACTTGTAAGATGCTTGCTCTTCTCACCATGCAATGAAACTCCTTGGTTAATCAAAACGTTAGGAGTTAAGTCTTTCTTCAGCTAAAGCCTAGCCAAACGTGTTTCCATCAGTCACTGCACGCGAACCTAGCTCAACACATCCATCATACACCTCCACTGCTTATTTAGCACTGACATTCTGTCAGTATTCAGCCCCCATCTGCACATCAGCATCTATAGACATCAGATGGACACATCAGAAAGCTGACTGCTTGACCCAAAACAGCTATATTCAAGATACAGCCTGGAGACCAGAAAAAAAAAAAAAAAAAACAGACTAGAGAATATATAGAAAAAACATACCAGCCAGTATTAGAGCTGCTCCTAGAAGTTGAAATTTCCCTCCCAGAGAAATTCTGCTGCTTCAGATTTAATTTTCCTCTAACGTAGGAGCAACAGAACACCTGCTTCTTACTACAAAAAAAAAAAAAAAGCCTGAACTTGTTTCAGTGCTTGTAGTCAAAAGGCTTCCAATGCTCCTAAAAGCCAGTACAAAAATAACATTGTCCATTTCCAGTTTTATATAACACCCTATTATTCACAAATCACGTACAAATCTAAGCAATTTCTATTGATTCATTTACAGCCAGCATCAACATGTACTATGAACAAAACTGTGTTTCTCCCACAGGCCTTTACATCCCAGCAGGTACCCACATTGCTTGACTAATTATAAATCATTTCTCCCCTCCCTGCAAAAAGGGCAGCATCAGAACTATGACACAGGTAAGGAAAAGTGTGGAATTCATAAAATAAAAAGCATGTGCTGTTTGCTTAACACTGCATGTTAAGAATCCTTCAGCAGGCCAAGAAAGTAACACTCCAGCTCAACTCAATGCAAGAAGCAACCTTAGCTCTTCTCTTCCTATGATGACCTAAGAGAGGAATCACAGAATATCCAGAGTTGGAAGGGACCCATAAGGATCACTGAATCAACTCCAACCATAAGGGTGTTTGGACAACACGTTACCACTCACCTGAAGAAACACCATGCTGTGCCACAAGACAACTTCCCCACTAGGAAGTGAGAGGCCATTCCATACAAGACATGCATCCTTTTGACCGATGGGTTTTAAATTGAAAGCACCAAGAACTCCAAGAAAGAGCAGCATCAAATTATACATTCCACACAGGAAAGGAATTTTCCATCAGGAACATGGTATTGCATTCCCTGCTGTTTTGACACACACACACACACACACACACAAAAAAAAAAAAAAAAAAATTCACAGTGCTTGCCTTTAATCCCCCTTCTTGTTTTTTCAGCAGAGCCAGGTTTTGACCACCTGTGAGCCCCACAGGACTGAAATTCAAGCCTCCTGCCAACAACATGAAACATACTATGCTAGAACTCCTCATTGCTATGGACAAATTACCATTTATTACCACTGAGACTGCATACTCCTGTGGGAGTTCCAGCAGCCCTTTGAACAACAGGACTGTGGTAGGACTGGTATTACTACCATTCCTTGTAGGAACAGCAGCAGAATTCAAGAGCACAAAGGCCAAGCAGCCATAGCACTCACAACCTTTTCTTTTTGCCAGTCACGTGGATATGCTTTTCCCTTAATTAGCTGTATGATCCAAATCAGCTTTTCTGCAACGACTCATCCATTACTAAGTGAAGAAAGCATATGACCCCCCAAGCATTCCATTTCGGTGGAGATACTGAGTCATTCTGCCCACTCTGAGGACATTCTTAGCAATGTGCAATGGAAGCATCAAGACTTCTTTCAGAAGAACTGTCTTTTCTTTCAGTGCAACAATTGGTTCGAGAGTCCCCCACTGAAAATGCAGCTTTTTGCCACCAAGTGCAGCACGTGTGAGCTATCCCATGCAATTTCTTCAGAAATCTGTAAGGTTAAACAGCCTCAGAACGAAAATAGGAATAAATAAAAGTAGAGTGCGCAATCTACATCTGTGAAGTGTCCTAGGTTGTAAAGCAGCACTATTAATATGAAATTCACCTGATTCACTTTGTTATGATGACTGTAGTTATGACTTATCAGCGCATGGGAGAGGGAGGTAATGAAAATTGACAATAAAGACATAGGTAATTCTGAGGTATTAGCTAATGAAAAGGAAAGGGGAGAAATCATACATTTCTCTTCCATATTTACTTTACAATTACCATGGTTTTGATCTATGTCTGACATTTACTGTGCTGTAAAGGCCATTAAAACTCACCTGGTAAATTACAGGGAGCCAATCCAAGAGTGACCCTTCCATGCCCCTTGCACAGGAGTGCAGAGGTATAACATAAAAGACCATCACCACCCCTTGTTGGTCATTAATTCCAATCTCATTTGCCTCGTGCCAACCCATCAAGACAAGATAGAAACAAAACCAAACAGCAGTCTCAGAACCCACCAAATCCCAGGTTCTCCTTTTACCAAACTCAGCTTTTGAAATATACATTCCAGGGTTAATTCAAGGAACACTGAAAAGGGGCCCTCTGGAGAAAGGAAATAAATGATGCTCACCAGTTGCATCATATTTTGCATATATTTTCTGCATATTTTGAGCGCTCTACAGTGACATCAGGACAGCGTGTGCTGAGCCAGGAGCTTAAGGTTTACTGCACAAGACAGCTTCATTTTAGAATTCAAACTACTGCTATGCTAAGTGCTCTTTGGATACGAGGTCTTCATTTGAGACTACAGATAAATCACAGTAGCTGCTCCTCGCAACACTCAATTGCATTTGTAATGTGCAGGAGGCAGCAGCAGTTATATTCTGTTGACTTTTGGCTTTGTTTAGTCTTACAAATTCTGCCTGGCAATTGCGAGTATCAATTCTCCATTTCAAAAGTGGGCATGGATGTCTGTTTATTGATGCAGGCAGAATACTACAATATGACTGTACAGCACATGCCCTTTCTAAAGCCAGTGTCACCATGTCACATCTCCTGACTGCAATTAAGCCTTCCATCCAATTGCACTCAGGACTCAAATGCTTCCTTCCTAAAAATCAAAGCTAGAGTTACTGAGAGTGCTATAGGGAAGCTGAAGGAAATCTGTATAAATAAGTTTCTGTAGAAACCAACTGTACTCCTGATATTTCTAGCAGGACTCAGAAGTTCCTACTTCTGAAGAGTTCCTCTTTTACTTCCATATCCTGACCGTTTTTCCTTCCCACTCTGCACTGCATATCTTGACATGTGCGTGGTTTTGTTTGTTTTTTTTTCTTCTGATAAACTGTTGTCATATGTTTAATGAATAATGAAACATAAAAATAACAATTCCGCAGTGAGATTTTTCCCCCTAAATTAAACAGCCTAATTACTCTGTATGCTCATTTAATAAGTCACCTTTATTAGGCTATTTTACAGTATACTGAATGTAACTTGGTTCCCAACTATTCTGAACCCAATTACAAAAACCAATACCTTCCTCATGGCATTAATCTCCTATTATGCCATTTCAACTTCTGCCTCCTGAGAATAGATTTGTAATGAGATAGGTTGTAACAGTGAAAATCAAGGTGGGTATTCACCCAGTAGGATGGGCTAAGCAGCCTCTGACCTTTAACAGAGTAATGGGTAAACTGAGTCAGAGGGTGGTCTGCTGACCACATACTTCTGACCTTTTCTGAATAGACATATTTAGCACACAGAAGGTAAGTCATTTCCTCAGCAGAACTAGAAACAAAACTTTTAGATCTTTCAGCCTCAATTTTCACTAATTTATTAGACTCAAGTGAGCCATGTATTTGGCTCAATAGGTGACACAACAGAAGCACTCAGCCACATAACCTCAGGGCTGGATTTCCTGCTGAGACAACAGTGTGGATTTCCTGGCTTTGCAGTTAAACCCCCAAAGAAGGAGCACACTGAAACATGTTTGCTTAAAGACAGGCAGCCTATCTGATGAAGCAGCATTATTCCTGGAAAGTTGTTACCAGAAAAAGACATTCAGTTATGAAGTCACCTCATTCATGAATGGGAGGAGAACAACAACAATGAAGGTTCTGTCCTTTCCTATCATGGCTTCCACTTGCAAACACTAACAGCACCACAGAGTTGAGTGTGGCTTGGGATGGAAGGGACCCCCAAGACCATCAAGTTCCAACCCCACGGCCACAGGTAGGGCCACCAACCCCCTAGATCTGCTACTAGACCAGGCTGCCCAGGGCTCCATCCAACCTGGCCCTGAACACCTCCAGTGAAGGGGCATCTACAGCCTCTCTGGGCAGCTGTTCCAGCACCTCACCGCTCTCCCTGTGAAGATGTTTCCCCTGACATCTACACTTTCCCTCCTTGATCTGAAAACCATTCCCCACTATCCTATCTCTGTCTACTCTTGTAAAAAGTTGATACCCCTCCTGTTTATAATCCCCTTTTAAATACTGGAAGGCTGCAATGAGGTCCCCTTACAGACTTCTCCAGGTCCCCTTACAGACTCCTCCAGGCTGAAAAAGGCTAACGAGAGCATTAAAAAAAAAAAAAAAAAAAAAAAGGGCCTTTTCCAGGAACATTTTGCAATTTTAACCATGAAGCAGACACATCTGGATGTATACTGAAGCTCCGCAAACACTTGAAGGAGTAGTTTCCCAAGTTTATATTACACATTAAGCCACGATTTCACTCTTGGCATTAGGGATTTGTGGATGTTAACAATGCAACTCAGCAAGCCATGCACTTTACACGTGGGGGTGGAAGAAGGCAAATGCAAACTGTCAAGTCATATATATGAGGGCTAAAATCTCAATCGAGCATTTTGAAAGCTTGTCAGGAAAATTAATTACCCTCTCGATTTAAGGAGTTCATTATTGTCCCAACAGACAAAGGCAGCATTTAACTATTATAAGCTCACATTGGTCGACAAATGACAACCAATTCATAACATAGCCAAAGGCAACACATAGCATATTCAAAATAGAGATTCCCCAGGTACTTACTTATTTAACCCTCCATTTTTTTTCACATTGTTTTGTAAAAATTTCCCTAACAGCTGACCCTCTACGCATAAAGATTAGTCAAGTTGTTCTTCAACTCATCATCTTATTTCCCTGGAGAGGTGATTTTTAACTTCAGTTCCTATAAAGACACTTTAAAAATTAACAGCGATCTCTGCATTTTGTAGAAAAAAGCTTAATTGGCCCCAGAACACATAGGCTCCATGCCCTGGCTCAGGAGTACATTGCCTATTCTGGTGGCTAAACTACAGAGACAAAACCCTAGGCTCACTTCCTTCCAAGCCATTCACTATTTAAGTTCACCATGAAATGGGAGCCCAAACGCTAATAGCAAGCTCTAACACAAGACACTGAACAGACAAACTGAGACTCTGCAAGCATGCAGTGAAACAGTCTCTGAAATTAAATGCTCTTCTTTAATGACAAAAGTGGTTCTGAGCCTGTTTTGGAACATCTTTTATTTTCATTTTATTTTCCCTCTAGAGGAAAGACAGAGCCAAAGCAAACCTGGAGCCATGTGTACTCAGAAAGAGGAGACAAATAGGAGCCACACACAGACACATCTTTAAGTACATACAAGGCAGAATAAAAAGAGAATATTGTTCTTTGATAGGCAACAACGTTGGGCAGCAAGCACAAAAGCAGAAAAACTTCAAAATACGTACAAGAGAAACTGTTAAAAAACCCTATTATATATATATTTTTGCAAACTTGAATCCAAAGCATATACTAACAAGTTTTCTAAACTCTGCAAGAGCCTTGACCAATAACAGAAAACTCATGAAAATGTCTTCTTTCACTTTCTTCCACACATGAAGCCACTTCAGCACTGTCCACAAATAAGTCTCTGGATTACTTGATGAAGTAGGTAATTACCACCTACGTTTTAAAGGAGCAAAGGAATTTCTCATTGTCAGCAGACAAATCAGTGGTGAAGCGAGGCCATCACACAGCTCACTGTATCTCATAAATTGCAGCAGGATGAATAGAGACATCCACATGCATGTAAAGGCAGGGCTGCCAATACCATCAAGGGAAAGAAGCCCATTACAACTCCTTTCTTTTCCAGTTCTTTTCAGAAGTCTTAATCTAACAAGTCAGCCATCACTGTTCTTCTGCCTTACCTGCACAAGGCTGACTCCCAGTACAGGACAGCCTTCATATGGTACAGCCAACTCAAGCCCAGCTTCCCTGCCATAAAGCCTCTCAAGCCCTTAATATTGTGCAAGTCATCAAGAGACAACTTCATTTTGATAT